AACCACCTCCTAGTCAACTTTTCCCTCTCTGGTACGAACCGACCTCCTTCCACTGCGAGCCTAGCCTCTTCTTATAGCCACGGCTCTCCCTGTCGTTGGGAGAATTCTTACAAAGTACACCCCTCGTAGTTTCCTACACTGGTACAACCTCCTCCCTTCCTCGTCCTTCATCCTACCTACCATCTTTCCAAGTCTCCTCAACTTTCCACACTTTTTCTGAAATTTCCCGGTATTTACCCTAGAAACTGGCGTTGAGCGGAAGGGGGGGGGGGGGGGGTAGTAAAGCGCAGTTGAAACAGGAATATGGAGAGTAGTCAGCAAGCGGAGCAGCGTTGTAGAACCCTTCTTGGCAAATACGACTCCCTCTCCTCCTTCCTCCCTTCAGCGACCATATACGACCCTTCTCGCTAGATACCCCCACTGTACGACGGCCCTGCTCATAACGCTTTGCCCGAGTGGATGAGATAGCGCTGATAGGGCGGATAACCCTTCACCAGCATCTCCTACCCCTCCGTTCATCCTTCGTTGTGATTTTGACTGTTGGTGTGTCCAGCCACAGAGATACTACAGGGCCCATCCCTCTGTACTAACCCAATAGTCTCATGGAGTACTCAAGCGATTACCTGGCAGGCGACCAAATTCTGGGTCTCGTTCGAGACGGCGACATTGACGAATTTCATCCAATTACAGCGGCTATCGTCCTCGACAAGAATCGTCTTCAGAGCCCTTCCACCAGACGGTGACATCACCTGAATAGTATTTTCAGTCGTAAGCCTCTCTAGTTACCCTCATAAGCACCCTGTCTGATCGGTGCTTATAAGGTTGTACTATAGCCCCATAGGTCTACTTCGAAGCTCAGAATAAGGGTGTATGTTGGAGTCTTCTCATTCAAAAACTAAACCACCGAGAGAATGCAGAAAGTGTCCCTTGTGGCAGAAGATTTTTTTCGATTCTGACACCCAAGCGATGCTACATGGCTGTACACTGCTTCCAGGAAATCTCCGACTTACCTTCCATTCCTTTGGCGAAGTGGTGGGAGCAGTCGGGGTAGAGGGTCCGCTTCCGGAGGATCCACCAGCACTGGAAGCTTCTGCCGGACAAACTGGCGTGCAATCGGCTCCATTCATCTTTACCTCACCAAGCAGAGGTCCGAATCGTACACCACGAGGAATGTAATCGACCGACCAAACACCCATACGCTGAAAAGGACATGCACAGACTTTCAGCCCATCGATGACTCGATTTAGAAACGCTATGTACACATCGAACAATTTCAACGAATTGCTTATCGTGGCGCTCTTCGGTGACACAAAATAGGAGAAAACAGAACGAGGTACCACCACAGGTGCAAAGCCACCGTTTTGTAAAGTAGACGAAAAATTTGTGGTACCGAAGGATCCTGAGTGGATGGTCGAATGGTCAGATTCAGTGGTAACGAGGTGATCGCACGATTCTTCGCATCCTAAATGGGGACACTTCTCTTTAGGTCCTAGTCCGGAGGAATTTTAAGCGCTCACCTGATGTTGAACGGGCTTGTCCGGCACATGAAATACACACAATTGTGACAACGTTTCATCATTTATTTCCCGCCAGTCCCAATCGGCCATGCGCGATGAGTCGTGAGATACTGTAAGAATCGTATTCCTTGTATGGATATTAGATTTCGTACAGAAAAAGAGAAGGTTTTTGAACGTTCTCTTTCAGAGTTCAGTCGGAGCACTGAGATTGGAGTTTCCCACGGTTTCCTTTCATACAAAAGTTTTGTCCGTGGTAGTCAAATTTGAATTCGAAGGGGTTTTAGCGATTTGACGCTGATGCGTCATGAGTGAATGTTGTTGCTTTCTCCATGAAGAAGGGGAATTTTCGTGAAATCTGCGATCTCTCCCCCTTTCCCCCCGAAAGGCGTTGCACCTCCAGGACGCTCTAAAAAAATCGCTGATTCGGGAGAGTTTCTTCGGGAAACTTTTCCCCATCGCACTGGCTTGAATAGTTAAGAGTCTAACTAAGAATAATGAAAAGAGTTTGAACAGTGGGAAGAATGCCCAGTTATGTCTCAGAAATGGCCAAGGTGATATGATCTGACTGCAGTGGTATCGCCGTTCCTTTTGGATATCAGCGCTGATACTTGCACATTTTCCTGCAGCCTTATCAGGGAAAACTACGAAAAGCCTTGGTTCGAATCCTGCCATGGTTGAGCAGGTCTTGCCCCGTACCAGGCTCGTCAGAAAGATCAAAAAATGCACTTGGACCTTTGATCGACTCTAGCAAGGTAGTCGAGCCATGCAAGGAGGGGGTGGGGTGGGATCTAGATGGCTACTAAGGAGGAGTGGTGGTGCTGGAGACCCTTCCCGATCCTCCAGGTCCCGATGATGCTCCCATATTGCATCTGAATGCGATTGATCAGCGCCAAGTAGCACATCCCTGGCGTGTCAGGCTTCCCCAGTGACTCTATAGGCCGTTTGTTCAAGTTTTCTTGAACCTATTAGGTGAGTTTCTTTTTTCGACCCCTCTTGAAGAACTATAAAATCTCAACGGGCAATAGCGACCGCCGAAAAAACTCGCTTTGCCCAGCTCTATCGATAATGCCTTATCAACACCCCCTCAAATTCGTGAAAAAAACAAACGGGCAGAGATCGCCCTGTCAGACTAATCAATCGCTTTTTTTAGTCTCATCAACAGCAGTAAGGCAGTTTCAGTTACTTTCACAATACTCGAACAGGCGATAATGGTTTAATCAGGAACTGAGGCGCTTTTGTTTTGGGTGGCTGATAGCGTATCACTTACGGAATCGCTTACAAACAATTTGTTGCCGGGTATTAGTGGGAGGGTGTAACAGGGTGTAGGCGGAATAATCTCGTAGGCAACTCACCTTGTGGAGGTTGAGGTGGTCGATTCTGAGCAGCAGGTTGTTGGGGCAGGACTCCGAATGGTGGAGGCCCAGCTGACGAGCCGTCACCTCGGTCTTCACCCATCTAAATACAAGGTTTTCGGCAAAATTTCGAACCCATGTATAAATAGATACACGATATATGGAAGTAGCTGTAGGTGATAAGATTTAATGCAGATGGAGGAAAGAAAAAAAACATTGTATGATAAGGAAAACATGAGCTGCTTGACGGCCTGCCACCGCCGCGTCGTCGCGGGCTGCCGTGAGAGGAGACCGGTCGTCGGTGTTCCCTTATCAGCTTTTCAAGTTTGGTAGAACTGTCATCAACGCTGACTAGGTGTCTCGATATCCACTTGGTGAAAGTCTCCAGTGATACTCACCCACGCACTTTTGTGGGTGATTTCCTCAAGAGAAATGTTGAAATCTTGGTGTGGGGGACCGAATGAAAGCGCCAAGGCCGGGAGCCGAAGCGAGCGTTGGTCGCGCCGTCGTCGTAATTGCAACATCCTGCTGATGACCGGTTGGGAGGCGCTGAAATGACTTGCGCAGACCGCGAACTTCTTGCACTTGAAGAGGTCCGGCAACTAAAGCCTCGCTCTTCCACAAATCGTCTCCAATCCTCCCATAAATGTATCCAACAATCGAATAAAATTCACAAGAACTAACGAGCAGTAATCTTGGAGTAGCCTGTCCAAGAATTCCAGTACGGTAGGGTAACAAGTGTGGGTGGGACTACTCAATGACTCAGTAGAATACCGTACTCAGCTGCAAGAACAGGTGAGATCGAGATATAGAATAACAAAGAAGGAGCTGTTATAGAAGAAAGAGATAGCTAATGCTTGGACGACAACAACGGACGGGAGGGGAGAAGGCAGGCAGAGGCGTATCGTTGGCCGGCTAGGCGCTCGTCCCGTCGGCTAATCTGCACGCGAAAAACCCGTTGCAGTCGTCGCACCAAGCATAATGGAGCTGTTTTTGGACGGCGAGAGTGAGCCGTACAAACTGGACACCACGATAGCCGTTCCAGCTAAGCGCCATCGTATCGAGATCGTGTCCATCTCGCGTACGCCAATGGATTGTCAAGCTCTCAAAGAAGCTGGACGTAGTCGCAACGAGTCGCCCAAACTCCTCTACAACGACGACGAATGACCTTATCGAGGGACTTGCGGGGGTATTGTAAGGCACAAAGGAGCAGAGTTTCGAAAGAAGCAAAAAAGCGACAAAGTCGGGTCAGCCTGGGACTAGAAAAAATCAATAATTGATTGATGACAGGAGCACGAGTTGGCCCCAATGAGAAGTGAGTCGAGATGAACAGTTATCCGGATCGTATCTGTACGGGAGCGAAAGTACCTTTCTATACGCGCCGCCAACGCCGCGGACACACAAAATCCGGCACATGAAACTGTAGCAAATGGTAGTGAGGCTAACGAAAACACACACACTCATATCCCGAAGATGGAGAGGCGTGGCTTCGTGTTCTAACTGGAGAACTTATGGGATGCCTTTTTCGTGGCATTTTTCAATTTGAGATGCTGTCTTGTATTGAAAAGAGACGTGAATACAGTTGTCCCAGAACGGCAGCATTTCACTTGAAGTATAGCCGCCACCACGCTCAAATGCAACCACGCCCATTCCATCTCGTGGGTATGAAGCGTCTGTGAGGTAGCAACATGGTAGGAAACAAGCAGGTGAACCTAGAATTTAAGGTAGCGAAAGCTAAAAGTAAAGGTAGGGCGGCTATAGGGACCATCCTAACGATTCGTGGTGTAAAATTACCTAACGGAGGTAAGGATTCGTGCTGAAACTCGTGAGGAAAGATGTTATGGGTGGGTGGGCCGAGTTCTTTGTTCTTTCGCAACTTTTGTCAGCTCGTTTTCGCACAAGAGTCCTTTAAGTGCCCCCCCCCCTTCTAAGGGGAGTTGTCTTTTGAAGGAGTCATCTCTTACAGATGAGGTTTGCCCTACACCTGCTTAAACTGTTCAAAGAGCTCAAACTTCCACCTTTCAGGTACGAGGCCATTCGAGAAAGCGATGAGGCGAATGTAGCCCTTTCTAAAGTGGATAAGTGCACACCAAGGGCAGCCAACAGCCCGAGAAGCTGTTCTTCCTCTTGAGAGCCCTACTAGTAGCCCATTATCCAGGGCATTTCTTGGAGTTACGGTAGCTTACTTGAATCTACATAAGCCAGCAGCGTATTAAAGAACAGCCCGAGGAGCTGTCGCTTCTCTTCGTAGCCCTTCAAAGGCTCAGTCCATGCCATCTCGCTACTAGAAAGGTACGGTCGGTGTAACCACCTTGCCCATTATAACACGCCCCATCGAGTTCAGGACCCAGCTGCGTCCAGTTGCGCGAGCCCGATCGGTCCGTCAATGACCAAAACTCCACTTTTATGCTGTTCCGCTAGGCAGGCTCGTAACTACGAAGCGACAAGCTCAAGTACCAGTCGATGTAGACCTCAGGGCCCAGTCAGAGTAGATTTGGAGAGCAGACGACAGTTAGTGCTAGTAGCCCATTACCCAAAGTATTTTGGGGGCTACACTAGCACTTGGTT